TGTACCAGAAGACATTGTCAGCGACCGCGACACTCGTTTCATGTCGGCGTTTTGGACTGCTCTCATGCAGGAGTCCGGCACAACAATGAAACCAATTTCGGCTCGACACCCTCAGACAGACAGACAGACGGAGCGGGCACATCAGACCGCTCAAATGATGCTTCGTACGCTCATCCGTCCGGACCAGAAAGATTGGGTTGACCGCCTCCCCGACATCGAGTTCGCCTACAACACTTCGGTGCATCCGGCGATCGGCGTGACTCCATTCGAGTTGCACCACGGTGGACGGAAAGGCCGGATCTTCGCCAACCTTCTCCTCCCTCGACCAGCCGACATTTATGCTGCCTGCTCTCCCTCTTCCGTCTGGAAGTACAGGGAATTGGTGACTCAAGCCCGCGCAAATATGCAAAAGGCTCAAGTCCGCATGCAACAGCAAGCCAACAGGCGTCGCGTACCATGTCCCATCTGCGCCGGTGATCTGGTTTGGGTCTCCGYGGAAGAGTTTGCACTGGAACAGGATGTTTCACACAAACTACTTCCCAAGTGGTTTGGACCTTGGTCTGTGACAGCAGCCGCGGGCGATGAGCCCGATGACCCTTCATTTGTGATCAACATTCCAGAGCATCTGACAGTCCATCCGGTCTTCCACGCCTCAAAGCTGGCAACTTACACGCCAGCCAAGAGCGACAACTTTCCGGACCGACGATCGCAGGACCCTCCTTCTATGGATGGCCATCAGGAAGTTGACTGCATCATCTCCGATCGCAAGTACGGCAGCAAGCCGCGACAGTATAAAGTCACTTTCAAAGCATGCGATCACGACGACACTTGGTGGATATCAGGCGCAGATTTGAAAGCATCCGCACCGCTGATCTACGCGCATTATGAAAAGCGCAGGTTAGCTCAGGAAGCTTCACGACCAGCCCCTCCCACCYGGACTGTGGTCCCTCCCTCAGACAGACAACTTCACCCTCGCAGGTAAGCTCGGTTCTTCAAGGAGAGGGGGGGGTGGCATACTGCGTAGCCACACGGGCCCTGCAGGGCCCGTCCCAGGCATTCAGCCTAAAAGCCTAAAACTTAGGGCTTACAGGCCCCGTTCGTTTCAGCCTGGATGCTGAAAAACGAGGGCCTGCGGGCCCTACCTCGTTTCAGCCTATTTTTGGGTCTTTTCATACCCAGAGTTTTCAGCCTGAAACGGAGGGCCATTTTCAGGCCCTCATTGTTTCGAACTGCCCCTAAGACTCAGGCACGGAAACAGGGATGCGCAACAGGCCCAAAATAGCATGTTCCTCACGTGCTCAAGCAGGAGCTGCAGCTGCAGCCCCTGCCTCCCTTCGGCCGGCTCAAGAGGCACACCCATAGTACATAGGAGGTTCCCATGCACTTCACGAGTAGGTAGTGTTCAGTAGGCATGAGTAGTCTTCAGGATTCGGCCACAGCACTCAGGAGGAGCGCTGCAGTAGTCTTTAGCGCTAGGAAGTAGTGGTAGCGCTAGCTGTAGTCTTCGGAGCTGGACGCCATAGCTGTACCCAGGGTTGTCACGCGGGGGCCCCCGGGGGCAAAGCCGGGGTAGG